CGAGCGGTGCTGAACCTCCTGCTGGTAGCGAGCAGAGTCTTCGAGAGAGACATGGACTGTGATGCAGCTGCAGGATTTTTTCAAGGCGCGGGAGAGAACGATCTCGGGCCACAAACAGGAGTTACTCCAGAGGTGAGTTTTTTTGTTGGTATTATTCGAATCGCGAATCGTGTTGTGAGATTTATTTTGTGCCTAGGCTACAGCAGACCGTATTTCTTTCTCCTTGAGATCGGTGCTGAAGATAATAGTAACCTTTTTCTGGTCTGCCTTTTCCTCTCCAGAGCCATCTTCTATGAAGGTAACCGTGGTGCTGCGAAGTCACCAAGTCGCGATCGCGATCAGCAGCCCTGAAGTGGAAAAATCGATTTTCCAATGATCTGGTTGGACATCAGCCACTAAAGTACTTCTGATTTGCCTGTAGTGACAACAGCAGCCATCCTTGGACACCTTGCAAAGACAGGAAAAGCCACTGGTGGAAGCGACTGCTATGAGGTGACGATAGCAGTGGTGATCGCTGTTTTGTCAAGTCGAAGGGCTAGCCAACCCAGAGGAAGCATAAAAAAAAAACGATGAGCAGTGCGTGGTATTTGTTGAGCGTGAAGAGCTAGAGGAGGACAGTGCAAACACATGGAAGGAGTGGATGGTGTTTGAAGTGCTGTGTGCCGGCTGGTGGTGATGGTGGTCTTTGTAAGCATGTATTCGTGCTGCTTCTTGTGCTGGAACACTTCTCGCCCAGGAAGGCAGATTGCGTGCTCCTTGGCCCGCAGTCGGCAATGGGGCATTTGTTCCAGGAACATTACCCCAGAGCCAGTGATGAGTCGTACCTTTGAAAGATCGAAGCTTGCTGTTAATCGCAAGCGTAGCGCAGTGGATTGCTCCCTCTTCGAAGTACGATGGCCAAAGCTTGCCGCTGTCTGCAACAAAGTGTGTGTGCGGTTCTTTCGAACCTATGAGTATGAATATACCCCCCCCCCCTCTCTCTCTCTCTTAGGAAGACTGCATGTTCAGAGTGAACTATTTTCTAGTATATTTAATGTGAGACGGGCTGTTTACGCCCAAGATCAAGATACAGTTTTTTTCTGTTTCTATACCTTCCTAATAAAATACATTGTGACAGAGCTTTCGGTCATACTCCGCTGTACTACATCCTCAACCCGCCACCACCATGCGCTCTTGGCCGAACTAATGCACGAAGCATAAACACACCAGCACAGCAAGGACACTTCCGTTGACAGATATTGTTTACGCCTCAAGACAGCTGTTTCGTTTCTTCGAGCTCATCGTTAGAGGAGGATAGTAGCAGGATATTAATGATGATATAATATAAGATGATAGACGGTTTATGGTCCGATATTGATGATTGGAGATCTAAGAAAGCAATGACAGTGATTGCGAAATGGATAATATTATCATGATTATATGCCAGTCTGGTAATGCGTTGTACTGGTGGACAGTATTGAAATCATCACTGCATTCGATGCAAATATTGGTATACCTTGGTTTCAGTATTGGAAAAAAAGAGTAAGAGAACCTGGTTGATTTGGTTGCATCTGCGACTGGCTACTGGGTGTTGTGATCAGCAATGTTACCATGGGAGAAAATACGAGCGCAAGGATCTGTTGGGTCTTGTTGTGCCGTGCCGGTGCGAGAACCCTAAGTGCATGGCAAAATAGAACTGTTTCATCCACAATGCAGAATGTCTTGCGGTGCATGGCATCGATGACTGAACATCTCGCCAGCTCGCCCAAATGGGGATCATGCCCAAACGGAGGAACAAGACATCTTTCCAGCTCAGCTAGCTATATACCGTGAAACGGATGATTAACTTGTGCCACGCATGCCAGCTTCTGTTCCATTCGGCCCAGGCTTAGACACATCAATGCCAATAGCAGCTGATCCTCCATTACATGCTCATTGGCGATTTACGGCCACCTCCAACTGTATCCGCCGTCCCTCAGTTTCCGTCTTCGCAGATCTGGCGCGGCGCAGTACATTTTCTCGGCTAGGCTCAAAGAAGTCCCACAGAGCAGTCCAAACACCTGAAGGCAAACCAGTCAGAAACTGGAGCGGCTCAGAGTCTTTCTTTATGTTACTGTACGTAAGCTGTTTTTCGGCTTTCTTCACCCCAGTCCTCACATCGTCCAACTGCTCCACGAGACTCTGTACACGAGCTCTACTTGCTGCCAGCTCCTGATGCAGATGCTGCACTTCCATTACAGGACCAAACTGCACTAAGCCAGCTTCCTTTCCAACTCAAAGTACCGTTGCCTCTCAGCAAAATACTGGTTTGGGAGCATGGGGAGCTCGTGATGCAGACGCTGCACTTCCATGACCGAACTGCACTAGGCTCAGCAAATACTGTTTTGCGAGCATGGGGAGCAGGGCGTCCAGACTCCATTCTCTTGCGAAAAGCAAACCTGGTACCGTAGGACAGCTGTTCGGGTTCCTGGACTCATCCTGCCCTTGTAGAGCTGGGCAAAACGATTTCGATTTCGGGATCGAAATGATCGCTGCAACTATTCAGAGTGACCCTAAAACTACGCCCTTCCTCACGGGGCATAGCCTGGATCCGCTGCTCCAGGCCGCTGTGGCTCCACACGAGGAAAGGAGTGAAATGACTTGTTTGCATCGTCCTCCTGTTCTGACAGTGAGGAACGCAGCAATGATCCTGAGAAGGCATCCTGAAGTCGTAAAAAGGAAGACGTCTGAACAAAAACAAAACAGCTCAAATCAAAAGTCCTTGTGACATTTTTTGTAGACAGGCTTGCACTGCATGTAGATTTCGCGTGCTCTGCACTTCGCATGCGAGAAGTCGCGCACGGCCGAGGTGAGGTTGGTCGCGTGTGTGCAGCAGGATCCCACGCGACTGCGGAGTTGCCCCCTTGCTCGAACCCAGACAATAATAAGGGGATCGGTCTATTGAGGAGCACAGTAGTTTACCATGTATGTGTGAACGCTGCATCGTGTGTTCCGCCAAAGCGGCTGCCGTAGTTACGCTTTTCATGTGTGACCGCTGCATCGTGTGTTCCGCCAAAGCGGCTGCGGTAGTTACGCTTTTCATGTGTGACCGCTGCATCGTTTGTTCCGCCAAAGCGGCTGCCGTAGTTACGCTTTTCATGTGTGACCGCTGCATCGTGTGTTCCGCCAAAGCGGCTGCGGTAATTACGCTTTTCATGTGTGACCGCGGCCTACACACGGTACAAAACCGCATACAACTTACAAGCATCATGGTCTTTGAAGTGGGCATGAAAACATGCGCGAAAAGTGAAATATCACATCAACGTTCGAAGCCATCCCGGAGCGACTTTGAAGGCGGCTTTGAAAGCGGATTTCGGCTTTTAATTTTCAGGCAAGACGAACCGAGTGGTTTGGTGTGTCGAATGCGCAGAGTTTTGGTTAGTTTTTGGAGAATCCGGTACCATGCCTCGAGTGGTCTTTTCTGCCAAGGTAAAGCTACGGCTGATAGAACTATGGGGAAAATACGAGCGAGAAAATGGAACTATGATTAAAAGAGCTGTTGCCGAGAAGAGCATTGCAGATGAGCTGAATCTGTGCGCAAAGCAGCTATCCGGAGGTGATCAGGAAACAGGAAATGATATACACGGCCGCTAGGGTTCACAACTCCAGCACACTCAGAGGAATACACCAGTTGTGAAGGCGTTCCACCGAGATCATACTAGCGGACCAAGAAATAGGATTTTTGAAATATTGAGCCAAGTGCCGCACGGAACAAGTGCGCTCAGCCATGCAGAAATCAAAATTCCCGCTCTTCGCCATGGGTCACGCGGGTCACTTTTTACGTTTTTGGCATGCACTGCATTTGACTGTGTGAATGCACAGGCGTTGCAAGTGGTTTGTACAGTCATGTAAACGCGAATTTTTGTACCGGGTGTGAATGCAGCCTTAAAAGCGATGCAAACTTTTCATGTGTGACCGCGGCCTTAGTGGAGGCCCAACTGTGGAAAGGAGTAGCCTCAGTCAGCATGATCAAAACGCGACGCAGCTCACCAGATCAAGGTGTGGGTCCTCTTCCGGTGCCGAAAGGCAGGCTCACGCCCCTACATGGCTACTTCCCATTGTCTAACCCCCAAGACAATTATGTAGCCGACTGGCCGAAATTAAAAAAAGAAAGCGAGCGGCTCAGGATGAATGACTGAATGCTGCAATGTACTGTCGCGGACATGGAAATCCAGTCGATTGACCAGGTCCGGAGCCCTCAGCGCGTACAGAACGTCGTCGTTGCATGCAGCGCCCATGTTATTGTTGAAACGATGCGACCAGCAGCAGCGCGTAATAAAGCATGCAATGGCTGCATGGCCAGCGCCCTGGGGCCGCTAGCTAGCTAGACGTGCGACTGGATTTCCATGTCCACGACAGTACATGCATGATGATGATGTGTTGTGTAGAATGCTGCTGTGGATGCCAGCCTTTTTACGCCTTTGGCTTTGCCTTTGGCCTTGGCTGTAGCTACCAGGGAGTAGAAAAATACATACATGTACGTATTTTACTACTCCATGGTAGCTACTGCCTGTAAAAAAAGGATCTCATTTCCCCTGCACTGCCTTGCATGCTTCTACTACGCGATCTAGCCCGGCTGTGTACCACGTGACGTGTACGTGGGTGAACAAACAGGGCTATTGTAGGGTCTACATAATCATTTTAGTACAGGCGACATCGCTCACTAGCACTGTTGCATGTGATGACACTAGAACAGCTAGTCCGCCTCTGCTCTGGCGACACAGACTGTCGGCTTCATTTCGGAGTTGGTGTGGGAGCATCAGCAGAAAGATCGGCCCGCAATGATTATGTAGACCTACATATGGATGTACACCGTACTACACGAGTAGCACTGTACTTTTGTAGTGTGGAGCAGACAGTAGAATCTGATGTCATGTTGTACAGTCATGTACATAATCTACGCGTAAATCTACAACTTTTGCCAGATCAGACAGATGAATGAAGCCACAGAGCTCTGGCCGCTGGAGCGTGCAGCGAACGTGTAGAGAGGATCTTGGACTGCTGCACCATTCGCGCTTCAGTTGAATGCGGAATCTGTTTTGTTCTTGCTCGTTGCCGTCTGTGGGTGTTCTGGGCGGATGCGTGTTCTGCTTGCGGCCCTTCATATTGTTATTTTCTGGGAGTTTGAGTGACGCTCCGTCGCAATCTGGTTGCGGAAGTGAAGCGCTTTCGTTCGTTATCTGCCCATCGGCATGTGTCGTTCAGATTTGTGGGACTACCAATCGTTCGGGTCAAAGTTACCAGAATAGCGGACGCCGGACAGGAACCACCCAGCCGTTATCGGGAGCAGGTACTTCTCCCTGGCTTGAAGTCAGGTAAGCATCTCCCATTCAGTCCCCAAGTTTCACTGAATGTCTGCGCTGAGTTCGAGTTGCACAGCAGCCCTAACCCGTAACGATTTATTGGAAAAGGATTCTGCTGATGTACAGTACTCCGTGTCGTGTGCTCACATTTGTCCGCATGGTATTGTATTGTTCGTAGTGAAGCGCAGCAACGGCAATTCAAACGCGAAGGTATTTTCGGCTGCTGCAATATCCACTCACTCTCAATCCGTGTGCTTTACAAGCAGAGAAAATTAGTCGATAAATATGGTGGTAAAGACACACCTGGCAATATGGCGGTAAACACACGCCTGCCCACACACGCTCTCTAGGCTGCAAAGTTCTGGCACAGAGCTCTCCTTCTCACCACTACCACCATCAGTTCGCGCCTGGCGCCTGGTCGATGCATGGCTGGCGGTATCCGGCATAGCACTGCAGGCTGGTACATCAAGTAGCGCATGGCACATAGATGATGACACAGCAACGACATAGCTCGATTGCGACGTACGTTTCGTCCCCGCTGGACTCATCAGGCAATCTTCTTCTTGGATGTCTTTGACTCGGGAGAATGAAATTCAAGGCACCACTGCAGCTGTACTTATGGTTGATAAATATGGTGGTAAAGACACACCTGGCAATATGGCGGTAAACATACCGCCAGCCATGCATCGACCAGGCGCCAGGCGCGAACTGATGGTGGTGGTGGTGAGAAGGAGAGCTCTGTGCCAGAACTTTGCAGCCTAGAGAGCGTGTGTGGGCAGGCGTGTGTTTACCGCCATATTGCCAGGTGTGTCTTTACCACCATATTTATCAACCATAAGTACAGCTGCAGTGGTGTCTTGAATTTCATTCTCCCGAAAATTAGTCGATGAATAATTTCGTCAAATTCCAAAGAAAGGACTTCTTCCAATCGGAAACGGTGACCATTCAGCAGAAAAAACAAAATTTCACATGTACATGGTTGTGGCTCATGAGTGCACAATTAGTTACAGGGCTGCCACACTTGGAGGGAGAAAAATATGACGGGGGTGCTGGGGTGTCCCCCGCGGGGGTGCAGGAGGCAGGGCCCCCTTGGTGAAAATGTTAAGGAAAATGGCTTGCTGTTGGGGCCCCAGAACTCATTTTTAACTGTCCAGGACACGCACTACAACCATGTCAATTATGAATTAATGGCCAACTGGACTAAAAAGCGCTCAAAATATAATAATCGGTTGTCCCTCTTTGTGAACAAAATCGGTCGCTTTGTCGGACAGGCGATCAAAAATCGGAGTAAGTGGCAGCCCTGAGTTATATTCATTGCCATTTTTTCGACTATTGTCTCCTCGTAGGTTATGGAAATACTTTGATCCGATCTCTTTGTCATTTTAGGGGAAAATGCCTATCTGTGTGCTCTTTGACCGACTGAGCACATGATAATGACGTTGTTGGCTGAGGTTTGAATCGCCTCGAAAAGAGCTTTCTGTGATAGAGGAGAGTGGAATGGCATTGATGGTGGATGTTTCTCGCATATTGGGCTTGGGGTGGACTTTGCTGTAATCCCGCACCTGATTCGTGGCAGCTAGTTGATGGAGTCTGGTATCCTGGCGTTTCTCTCGCCAGGAGCTTTCCAAAGAGCCCAAGATTGTGGAAATGCATTGAAGGAGGTCAAAGTTATAGCCTGCTGAAGGTGTAAATTGTGCAGAAAATTTAAATTCTGCTGCATTCTGTGCTGGAAATCAGTACATAAAGGGATATTTATTTATTTTTGCTTCGTTTTTGTTTCCCTACCATGGCTGGCTACCGCCCCCTCCCTCCATATTGGCCTATATTCTCAGGCCACGGGAAGGTGAAATAAAAATAAATAAAAAATAACTGATGCAGCATGCCTGGTGTGCAACAATACCATACCAGTAAAGAAGCTGGTTAAAAAGTGAAATAGGGCTTTCAACGCAAGGATCATAACGTGAAGCAAGTTGGTAGGATGAGTATGTATGCGAAGTGTATGGAAGGAATGCATGCAAGGAGAGAGTGCATGTTCCAATACCACGTTATGTGTGCGAACAATTGGACAAGCTAGCACCACAGCATAATAATAATTACTCCGTAAAATGTACCTGACCTGTCAGTGTGTCAGTGATCAAACCCCGTGTTATGTATGAAAAAAATGAAAATCTAGCACCATACACCCTAACTACTCGATTCAGCCTCTGGGAAATCCAGATAATTAATAATTGGTTTACAAATCAATTGGCTGGAAATCCCAGTGCCCTCGGTATGCTTTGCTTTCACGTAGGTCATCATGCTTCTTACTTCAGTTTCCTAATCTTCAATTTCTATAAAACTGATAGAAACGTCTTTTCAATATGATTATCAAGTACATCTTTATGTATGTTTTTTGCAAAGACGTTTCTATTAGTTGCATAGAAATAGAGGATTTCTTATGGTATGCAAGCTCCACTGCACAACACAGCACTCCACAGCAAACGCGACGCAGCTCACCAGATAAAGGTGTGGGTCCTCTTCCGGTGCCGAAAGGCGGGCTCACGCCCCTACATAGCTACTTCCCATTGTCTAACCCCCACCAAAAAACCCATTGTTGGGCTTGGTGTGGGCTGTGCAGCATTTCCGTTGCTACCTGCTTGGTAGAAAATTTGAATTTGTTATATGCACAGCGACCATTCTCTGGAACATTTGGCTAACTTTCAACATCCACCGGCGATTGTGTCTCGCTGGCTGGAATTTTTGTCTGAATGTGAGTTCACCACATTGTACAGGGCAGGTCGATCACACGCTAACGCTGATGCACTGTCACGCCACCCTGATGCTCCGACGACGCTGTTCGTAGGGGCCGTGAATAACGACGTTGGCAACATCCCCACACCCCTCATCCGCCGTTTCAACTGGTAGTGGTCAAGATGGGAAACGGAACAGGAGAAGGACCGAGATCTCGCCCAAGTTGTGTCCTGGCCAGGTATGGACTCTCCGCCTTGCCCGCAGGACATGATGGGTAGCAGTCCTGAGGTACGTATTTTGTGGAAAAATCATGAAATGCTGGTTCATCATGAGGGGGTGTTGTGCCGTCGTTGGGAGGACCCCTGCTCCAGTAAGCCATCTATCTTGCAAGTCGTAGTTCCCCGACATTTACGTTCTTTGGTTGTGCAAGAGTATCATGACCAGGGGGGGGGGGGGGACATACGGGTTCTACACCCCTGCAGAAGAAACTGACGCAACAATTTCACTGGGTAGGCATGAAGAAAGATGTCTTAGATTCGGTTGCAAGTTGTTCTTCCTGTAGCCAGTCGAAACGTCCCGTAGGCAGAGGGTCTGGCGCTCCACCACAGTCTTCCTGGACGGGGTATCCTTTTGAGCGAGTAGCAACGGATTTGATCCCCAATTTACCGGAGACAGCGGAAGGGAACCGCCATATTTTGGTTGTAGTGGACTATTGCCCCTGATCGGTTGCATACCGATCAGGGCAAAAACTTTGATGGCTCTTTGTTTCGCAGTGTTTGCTTTCTGCTTGGCAAAGATAAGACCAGGACAACTGCGTACCATCCACAGAGTGGCGGTCTGCTTGAAAGATTCAACCAGACGCTTGAGCGTGGCCTGGCGCACTATGTCTGCAGGAATCATCGAGATTGGGACATCAAGTTGCCAGCCTTCTTGATGAGATACCGCTCGACGCCGCAGACTAGTACCGGCTACAGTCCAAGCTATCTACTCTTTGGTCGGGAGTAATGCCTACCTCAAGACTTGGCATTTAGATTACCGCCAGGAGAAGCATCCGCAGAATCGTCACAGCCGGAATTTGTGAGTGCTCTCCGCCGACGCCTGGAGGACGCTCATGCGCAGGTCCGGGAACACCTGGGCAACGTGCACCGTTATCAAGCGCATATCCGTGATCGCTACGCTAAGGCCGTGACGTTTGCAGCAGGTAACGCAGTGTGGCTTCTGGTGCCAGCTACACCGACGGGTATAACCGCCAAGTTTGCTAGACTTTGGCACGGATCGTACCTAGTCGAGGAGAAGCTCTCAGCCGTCACCTACCGCATCAAACTGTCTGAGCCCACGGCACGTCGGCTGATAGTGCACGTCAACCGGCTGAAAAGTTGCCATCATCGACCGAGTCGGCTGCAGGAGGTTCACGAGCAAGATGAGTCGGACCCACCGCAGCCCATGGCATCCACCCTGACTCCGTCCTACCAGCCTGATGCCACTGATACCGCCGCCCGAGACGAGGAGGACACCGCTCGGGTATTTGGCAGTGCTCCGCCAGTTGGCGTGATGGAAAGGCGAACTCCGCGTTCCCGCCATCCACCCCAGCTGTTTGGGAGTCCTGTGTGGCACGAGTAAGTGACCTCAGTGGTATTGACTGGATTAGTGGTGTTCGATATTACAGTAAGTCTTTGAACAGATTTTGATAAGAACTCCAATTTGACCTGCACTCGTTTAGTTAAATTGTTAGCCATAATCTTAGTCTAATTTATAACGTTGCTCACGAGGACATGTTCTTTTCCGTGTAAGCAGGGGGATATGTCGTATCCATACTATTGACACGTGCCTTTTAGGCCTCTACGTGACAAGTCTGCCTTATTTAGGTGTCTAATTATTTATCTATCTCCCATAAACGGGTTCATAATCGTCTATATTTTATGTCTTCACGCAAGGCCTGGGGCCTTCCTTATTTGGTACACGCTGTTATTTCCCCACCTAGCTCCCGCTCTTTATGCAACAGTTTGTACACATATTTACTACGGTTTGATACGCTATTGCATGCGGGACCAGCAATCTGGTGGCCATGGACTTCCATGGCCGCAATTGGATAGTATTGCCATCACCTTCCTTTTCTCTCTATCTTGCCTTGTGCTCTTCATTATCTTCTCTTGAACTGAGTTACATGTACCCTCCTGTGAAGATGTGAGTAAACCTGAACGCTGGTCTGAGTGTACGTGTCTGTATATGCCTGAGTGTGTGTGTATGAGAGTATGTCTAGGTATATGTGCGTGCGTGCGTAA